GGTTTGTATGCCTTTGTATTAAAAAAATCTAAACAAAATTTGCTAGAGACACATTATTAATAGAGTTCAAAATGGATGTCATAAAAAGAAATCATAAAAAGCCTCTAAAATTACCCGAAAAAAGACATTATTTAAGCATGAAATGTAAACACTTTGCAATGCATTCAAGGTTATTGAGTGCAGCCAGTTGTTGATAAATAATAAAAAATCCGTTGCTAGTCCTGCCTTTTAGCACAACTACGTGCACATATTTACCTCGCACTTGATTGTTTACTGTAATAATAAAAGGATTCAATTCTTAATGTCGTATTTTACTGGAACTGTGGGTAACCTATGCGAGAATAACTCTCGTATAACGTCATCTTCTAGAATTTCTTTTGCATGCATTGAATATTTCTTGTATCCGTTCACACGATCGCTATGGTTCTATTCTCGGACCCCATGTAGCTGACAGAACTCGTAGACTACGCAGATTCAAGGATTCACATTCTGCATTTATGTATCCAAGAAAATACATTAATAGCACAACTATTCAGCCTGACTTGAAAAGTACCCAACCTTCCGTTCTTAATAATCCCAAGATCCGTTTTTAATATTCGAATGTGCTTACATGAGCAGCTGGATGTACATATCTATGAATAAAGATGTAAATACATTTATCTCATAAAATGACATCGTTTTGGTTCTTGACGCTGCTCATATATGTAATATATGTTAGCGTACGTTTAATCGTATTTTATACATGAGTAGATGAGCAATCACACTACCAGCTTTTCGTTTTTTGTCATTAAAGTTGCTCTCTACAGGGAACACCCTGGTTCGTGTAGTAAAGGTCCCGAGAAAGACAAAGGGCTACAAGCATTAATGAAAGCAACTAGCAACCAAGTAATCATAAGGAAATATGTACAGTTTTCATGAATACACGAAAAAGGGTAGGTTTGGGTTTCAGGAGAGTTTATTGTAACTAAAGAAGAAGAAAAAACACTTATTTTTTTCTTTTTTTTTCAATTAATCTTTGCTTTTCAAAGTAAACACAATATTATGGGCCAACGTCTTTAAGCAATTCAGTATATTACCTGAAACTGTTCATTATAAGTGTAGTTGAAAACTGCTCAAACAGTTTCTTACGGCTTATTTCTATCATGATCCTTCTCAAAATTATAGGTTTTCTAAATTTTCGTACTAAGTTTATTTACACGCCAGCCACACCACCTTTGGTCCACACAATCTTATTAGCGAGAATTTAGCGAAACAACAAAAAACCGCAGTTTACATTTTTGCAAAAGGCAAAATCTATCTAGGGCCATTATATTCGTAGCTTCAGCATTGGTTTTGTATCAGTAAAAAAAGATCAAAGCTTCGATTTTTCTAATCCTAACACATTTTAATGACAGTTGAGAAAATCGTAAAAGTAACCTTCGCTTCTCAAAACGACTTCTACGACTCTTTGTTTCTCTCCGGCAAAAAAAGCATTACACGTAAACGGCATTAATGGGAACATTAGCTGGTAAGTGGAATTTTCAGTATATTTCTCATATTCGTTGATTATGGTTTATATTGGAGGCTATTTGCTAAACAGTCGGTGTACCGCAATTTGCCTAGCATCTACTATGTCACGAAACCTTCCGTTCTTTCGAATAAATGTTTTTACTTCTGTAACGATTTATAGAGCTGTCTGCTGCAGACTATGTTTATTAACGACAAAATAAATATGCTATGTATCTAGTAGATTTTCGGTAACACTATAATCCCATCACTGTGGGACGTCTTTAGTTTTCGGGTGAAAAATTTTGTGACAAGTATTTTTTGGCACTATCATATTGAAACTAAATTGACGCCGTGAAGGAAGTTCAGTAGAGATCGAAGCAGAAGGTGGTCTGGTGGTGTAAAACCCCTATTAAACGGCAGCGGATGCATTAAAGTCTCTAGTCGAAATCTTTCAAACTTTACTGAGTAACTAAGCACGTACGTGGTCCGACATTGTTAACCTCGATAACGACACCTTTTCTGATCAGCAGTTCCGGACGATTTTTTCTCAGTGGCTTGTTGTAATCTTGTTAGTTGCTAAGAGTAGAAGTCGGAAGCAGTCGTTTTACCAGAGGGTACTAACTAATAATGCACGACTCCTTTCCAATCCTACCAAACAATCGACATCACCTTCTTTTGGTTTTAGTCTGTATTTTGCCACGGATTGTGGAGCATACTTTTTTTTTGCACATAATTGCCTTATACGATTATTTTTGTATGTCATTCTTCATCACTCATGATCAGCTGCTGTAGAAATGAAATAGAAAGAAATAGAAAGCTTCGCAGATAGAAAAAGATGATCGAATACATTTTTTTTGCGTCGATTCGCGCGGCACCCAAGTGTCGAACTTTTTTGTGTCTGTTTTTTTTTTTTTTCAAATAGTATAAAACTGTTTGCTGTTAGATATTTAGTTCCTAGGCGAGATATTACAGCTATGCACGTGTCGGTCTTGCTCACTTTTCGCAATAATTTCGTCAGTTTTTTCCGTAAATGATTGCCTACTGCAAAATGTATCCCCACATCAAATTTCCAGAATAAAAGTGACAGAGCTACCTTGGGGCAATACTTGTGCATTTATTATGATCAACTGGCAGATATAGCGGAAATTTCTTCCAGACGCTCTATTTAAAGCCTGGATAAAGAAGATTCCAACAATTTTAGCACATCTACTACTGCCAAACAACTCATATTACCTTAGATATGTGATTTTAAAGTCATCTAGCTAGGAAAACAGTTAATACTTTTTCGACAACCCAGTTCGTTCCAAACCTCCAGAGAATCCAGAAAGTTATGTTTTAGTTGCCACAATAATGCGTTTACAGAACTGCTGGCGCATCTATCTAGGGACAAGCAGGTGTGCCTGTGTGGGTACGTGTGCCTATGTGCGCTTGCGCATGTTTTTACTACGAACCTCCATATGTGATATTCATTGTTTGTGTGGACGGGCGCTTAATAAAAGATCAAACGTCTATATCCTTGCCACTCATCAACACTGTATAACAGACGCAATCGTCACCGCCATCGGAAACGCCGCTCGCTCTTATTTCGCCCACTACAAATGGGTCTAAAGGTAGTAAATGAAATTACCGGGAGTAACAGCAGCTGCCGTAAATAATTGCATGTTGATATCGCGAGCCGTAATATTTTTATCGCCGTCCCTCTCGTCGTTATTACTATTACGCTGTAAAGACCTTCTTTCAACTAAATGTACTAAACGAATGCACATGCGTCTTTCAACATGCCATTAATGCGTACCTTTTTGTTTAAGCTGGGAATGCTCTGGTCAATGTACGGGCCGGCTAGAGCGGAAGGAGCCATCAACAGTCAACTTCACGCCTGAGTTACTTTCAGACGTCGAAGACGGTAGCAGCAGCGGTTTGTGGAAAACGCGCGGTACCAATGTAACAGCGGTCAAAATTCGCGTTATTTTAGCATTTACTAAGATCTAGCATGTGTCACCTGATATTTACTATTTTCTCGCCTAACAACGTCAGGCCAAGACAAAGACTTTCACATCATGACTAGGCCACTGTAATGTGGGTGTTGCGAGGTATACCAGCCTGTTTGTACCTGTAATCGAAATTCTACCGTTGAGGATCAGCCGTTTAGACTGTCGATTACTTGTTTAGTTTCAGACAAGAGAAAGTGGTTATAGATCGTCATTTTGCTTATACGTTCGGTTTGCTGAATAGAACTCGTGTAATCCTATACATCTCTACCTGCTCTATCCGTTTGAAGGACTTACTTGGGTATACCTTGTAGCAGCAGATTTCGAAGTAAAGGATACAAGTATATATATTAAAGTTTCCGAATAGCGAGTACTTAAAATGAACTATCTGTGTGTTACGAACCTACTATTTCAAATGTATTCTCTGCTTTGTAATAGAAGAGTGTAATTTAAATATTTTTTTGCGGTTACCTCTTTAGGATAATACAAGTTAGTAGCCTTCTCGACTTTTAAAATTAGTCTACGACTGTATGCCATTACAGAGATGAAATTACATCGGTAAACTCCAAAAGCCCAGGCCAAAATCCATGCAAGCTTCTTTGCTTCAAGAATAAACTACGAGATTGTTAACACACTACCTACACAAAAACTAAGACTTCAAAAGTGTACCAGCCAATGAAATGTTGTCCGATTTATTCAGCTTTTAATCTATTCTTTATCGTTTGCTTCCTCCCTTTTCGGTTAAGTACATAGACTAAGAGAAATTGCACGTTTTGTATGTATCTGTATATGTATATATATATATATATATATATATATATATTTGTTTGTATATATATATTGCTTCTTACATACTGTCATACTCTTTTCAAATAATTGTTAGTAAGTTGTAATACCGAGCGGAAACGTGCACACGACGCTTCTTTTTTATTACTATGATTCGTTACAGCACCTTGTCTGTTGGAACCCACGAGAAAACAATAAATTATTGCTGTCTAGTGTATTTATGTAAAATCAAATTATGTCTCAAACATATGTAGTGATATTGCGCGTACTTTTCGGTAACACCGTTATGTATCATTAAATTTCAACATTAGGAGCCTTTCTTATTATTATTAACGTCTACCCTTTCCTAGTATCCAGGTAGATTCAATAAGAAACGACGTATATTGAATGATTATTGCGTGTCTCTGTATGCGTTCTCATGATAATTATCATTCCCAAGCATACTACAAGTCTCAACTTTGGCAAACTTTATTACTGAATATGGTGCACTGGTTATCAAGAAAACAAGGAATGAAATAAAAATTAGAAATCAAGGAAAATTAATATTAAGGTACTAGTGTTAAGATTCGTAGCTGTTTGTATGGTTGCCATCCGTTCCATAAGTCTGTTAAAGAAACTCCAAACTAACAGCAAAGATCACCGCGGTTAGACTCCTAATTGGAGGAAGTCCTTGATGCTATATATAATTTCGAGAATAAGATACATATCTGATAAATTAAGAAAAAAACAGAATTGGTATGCCTAAGCAATAAATGTAAGCCAACAAAATTGGCTGTATATTATTGCTAATTCAACGTACACAAGAATTTAATGTCACGTTCGTCAAAACTGTTCAGCGGTTAACGGTTCTAAAACTCGTATTAAACGCTCCTATTTGTCGGCACAGAAGCAAATCAGTAGCATTGAAACACTTATTTTAAAAAATCTTAAAGATAATCACGCTACCTTGTCATTTGATTTCAAAAAACCAAAATATTGCATATGTTCCGTAAAAACAAAGCCGAACTAACCTCACCATTTTTGACACGTCATTCATTATAGCACAGAACCTTCTATATGCTAAGCTTCATCCATATCTACTAACATCCGTCACTAATTTAAATGGTCGTACATCTTTTATGGAGCGCTGGTTTTACCAGTATCATGCATATATATCAAGTATATTATGAAGAAAAGACAAATAATCCGATAGCAGTTAACACAACAAAACTTAGAACTACTTGTTAGTCTGTCAAATGTTTATATTAGTCTTAACTTATTCCTCGTCGGTTGAAAGACGATCCATTCCTTGAAAAGTAACCGTATAACGGAAGACATGCGGCAAAATATTGACGATATGCCTAGTGATTTCTAGTTGTAACTGTTGATAAAGTTGATCAGCTGGTTTGTTGATGGGTCGTGAGAGCTAACCGGATCTTTGCCGTTCAATTCTAGTTCGATCCTTTTCGCAAGCTGTTTGCCCAGCTCCACACTGCAAGCAGGTAATAACATATCACGTTATTATAATTTCTCAAATTAGGTGTAATCGATAAATATTTGAATCACAGAAGCGCCTTCTCTCAACGTGCGTTAATGCTTGCACTATTATAGGCACACAAATAAAGTAGAGAGGCTACTACTTAAGTATTATGGATTTCTATGCATAAAAGTTTCCTTTTCGAGAATGAATATTTATCGAAATAGTTATGGAATGTTAACAAAAAAATAAAATAAAAAGCAAATTATTCAATTACCCCCATTGATCATATGAGTTGATATTCCAGATGACACCCTGAACAAATATTTTGTGCTCGTACATGGCAATCAGAGCTCCAAGGGTGAAAGGTGTAACTTGCTGGACGATAATCGAATTTGTCGGCCTGTTACCAAGGAACACCTAATAAATGAAAAAATGAGAAGTAAGCAATTAAGTTTATAAAACGCCCTCATAATTAAGTAGAAGGTAATTCTACTCACGAAGTACAAGCCTATAGAACTAATAGCCAACAAAGATGTAATAGATATACAACCATTATGACAAGCTATCTCACATGTAATTAATAGTACGAACCTTATGAGGAAGGATTCTTTCAAGGACTTCCTCGCTTAGCCCAGAAGCCTTCAATTCACTTTTAGCTTCTTGTTCGCTTTTGCCTTTCATAAGCGCCTCTGTCTGAGCTAGGAAATTGGCCAAAAGGATCTTGTGATGTACTCCCCCTAAAAATACAAATTACGTGAATACTAGAAGCGCTAATTGGTGGAGTCTGTATATGTACGTGGAACATACGTAGAATGTTTGGTCACTAATTCGATTACAATAGAGATATTCCCAAGACAAGATACCTCTGGACTTATCGCACAGACAACCACGAGAACAAAAAAATTACTTTCAGCCATCGTAAATAACTAGTGTTGGTTCTTCCTATACATAAAGAAATCACCTCGTATAGGGTTGTGGGTCTTAACAGGGGCGATGAAATCACATGGAATCAATCTATTTCCCTGATGAATCAGCTGATAGAAAGCATGCTGACCGTTGGTACCGGGCTCTCCCCACAAAATTGGGCCGGTCTGGTAGTCCACCTGAAATCAACAATGACGTGTTGTTTGTTTTAACAAGAATAGTATGTATCAAGCAACCACAAAAATATTGAATATCTGACGAAAAGAAAAACTAATGGATAATAAAATTAATGATAAGGAAATTATTTGATCCAGCATTATATGCAATGGTTATAGTGACAGAAGTAGTATTATTGACGAAACGCTGGGTCCTTTGAAATTACATACTTGATAAATCTACCCAACATTTTTTACTTATGGCCTTTTGTTCCTGTCATAAATCGAACCAACTGTTATATGTAAATGATATATGTAAGCGTTTGCCGTATGACCCTTTATTGCTACAGTGCTAGATACGGTGCTTGTGCATAAGGTATGGAGAGCTTACCCGTTCTCCATTGCGCTGAACGTATTTTCCGTTAGATTCCATATCAACTTGTTGAAAATAGGCAGCGAAACGGTGTAAATACTGATCGTAGGGTAACAAGCAGTGACTCTCTGCGCCGAAAAAGTTGATGTACCAAACTCCGACCATGGCTAGGATAACTGGCACGTTTTTGTCCAAAGGCGTGGTTCGGAAGTGTTCATCCATAAAATGAGCTCCGGCAAGAAGCTTTTCAAAGTTTGGCATACCTAAAATATTGAGATGTATCAAAAGCGTGAAATTATAGATGAGCGTCTGAGATTTTAGCGATTCGAGATATATCTGCATAAAAATATTGGCATATTCGTGACAAAGTATATCCTTTTGTAACAAAAATACTGAATTCGAAATTGGAATGAAAGGCAAAGTTATAAATCACTGGCAGACAGAAATAGATAAACTTACCAATGAAGAGCGCGATCGGTAGCCCGATCGCGGACCAAAGAGAATATCTGCCTCCGACCCAGTCCCAGAATTCAAACATATTGGCGGCATCAATGCCAAAGGCTTCCACTTTTGGTTTGTTTGTAGAAAGTGCTACAAAGTGTTTGGAAACATGAGCCTTATCTCCTGCCTTATCCAAGAACCACTGCTTGGTTGACTCGGCATTTGTTATGGTTTCCTGCATTATAGCAAACATAGAAATGCTCAGAAGCAATTTTTGTAGGTACTTTTGATGCTTCCTCTTCCCAATAATGTCTATTTTTTTCATTTTAATAAAATAAGGTTTGGGAGAAAACGGTTCATGAGGCTGAAGGGTCTACTTTTATCTTCTAATTTTTAAATATGAAGCAACTCCATAAAAGGATTTATATTATGCAAAAGATAATCTATGGTGTCTGGGTATTTAGTACTGACGATATACGTACTCTATTATACCCTAGTACTGACTGATTCCTACTTATTAGTATGATGTTTTGAACTAAATCATAATTTAAACAATTTAAACAACTTTTTAAAAACAATTTAACAATTAAACTTAATCTCCAAAGATGCTTTAATACCGCATAGCATTAACTACTTAGATAATCATTTTATTTGTTCAACGATTTTAGAATCGAATGAAGATCCTTTATCTATTACTGTAGCTCAATACTCATCACGAAAGAAAAATGTATTGCAAACAAATTACTTTTTTTACTTTTAAGATACATTCAAAACATGCAAAAAGAAAACCGAGCTATGAAAAATGATATGTATGATTTCTCAACTGACCTGCGTTGTAAAAGTCTTCGACGCAATAATAAACAGTGTAGTTTCAGAATCTACCTTCTTCAAGGTCTCGAAGAGATGGGTGCCGTCAACGTTGGATACGAAATGTACCCGAGGACCAACCTGAAAAGGCAGAACCCGCATGCTAGGCAAGCTAGATGTATCACGAACACCTAATTACATCATATCGCTTTTCCAATTATTTACTATTCAAATATATTATCTTAATAAAACAAAACTATGTAAATAGCATGTAAAAAAATCGCTTGGCAATTGACCAACCTGGAATGGTTTGAGGGCTTCGGTAACCATAAGAGGACCGAGATCAGAACCCCCAATGCCAATGTTAACAACGTCAGTTATTTTTTTACCCGTGTAGCCCTTCCATTCGCCTGAGATTACCTATAGATCAAAAGGAAAAATAACATTTAATGCCACCGCAAAATCGGTCTAACGTCAACGCTAAGGTTACAGTAAAATCGAAAAAGTAAAAATCCGAGTGACTGACAGGATGCTTTTTTAGGAAAAACCATTTTATTTTTACATTTGAAAATATATATTAATCTAACGTAAGTAGGTAATGTTATTATACTGAAGTCATCGGATCTACCGTAGGTTAACAATTTACTCGAGTTACCTATTTGCTTTTTTATTCAATTAAAGACTAACATTTTTGGGGTCGCGTTTTGGCTACACATTTGGTGAATAGTGAAAAAGTAAATTTAGATTAACTTGTTCGCAAAACTAAGTGCATAACGTACCTGTTGGCAAAATGCCTTCATGTGCTCTAAAACAGCGTTGACTTTAGGCATTACGTCCTCTCCGTCAGCAGTAATCGGTCTATTTGACCGGTTCCTGTAAATACAAAGGGATATCACTAGATTCAAATAAGATATTCAAACAAGCTTCAAATATTATCTTTTCGAATATCCTATTAATGTTAGCTTTATACGTATTTAAACGAAAATACCCAGCAAAAATTATAAGCTTTTTTTTATAATAAAAATCTGTTCTGCCATTTGCCGGGCACCATGTAAACGTTGCTTACTCTTACAATGATATTTCAACTTGACATCACACTATTATTTTACTTGCATAACTAATCCTGCATTGAATTAAATTTGCTTCACTTTTAACTTTCAACTTAGAGAGAGCGGTGCGTGCCTAGTTATTTGATGTCCGATGATGATGAACAGCTTGAATATCAACAAGACTTCTGTCTAAGTCCTATCTGAAAATCATCTAATCCTAATAAATACAAGGTCGAGATCTTACACACAGTGAAGCAGTCTGTCATCTAATCCATCGAACAACGCAATTTTTAATGTTTTTAAATTTTTGCCTAAAGTTTATTGAAGCAGTTAAAGGCGGCCAGTCCGCCTGGATCGAGTCTTGCGTTTAGCTTTGGTTAGTTGGCTACATAATAGCTACGCGTCAGCAATAAACGAATGTTGCCGAATAAACGAACGAACGACAAGGACACGTAAATAACCATCAAGGTTGTCAATATTAACAAAATTCACTAAATAATACATTAAACCACTTACACAGCTTGATTATCTAGTTCTTATAGCAAGATGTAAATGTATACCCAGAGAAACACGCGTAGAACACACATGCATGAGTCATGCGAAGCTAAGCAAATACGAAGGTAACTGTTCAACACGTTGCTACACATCAAGGTAGGACGTTCATTATGACAAAAGTCAGAGCACTGCAATAAAGTATCAGACACTTGGAAAAATACTGGATTACGGTAAAACCCAAAAAAGGTTTTGTTTTCTTATTCAAACGATTGAACTGCCCCTTCCCTCGATCGAGTGCGCGCATTCTCTTATGTATGTATATATCTCATTCAGAGTGTCGTTTAGGTATGCAGTATAACCGTATATTGCTAAGTGATAATTTGTCGCTAAACCCCATCTCTGGTCTTTGTTATCAAAATAATTTTTCAGTGATTCTCAAATACCGTTACATATGTTTCTTTTAACGGTAAAAAATAACGTCTTGTTAAAGGGGTAGCAAATAGTGGATCATTCGAAATACGAGGACATTAGGTAGAAGAGTATTTGAAACACCATGCCTGCAATGAAGCAATGCGGATATTTATGATGTCCAAGCGTAATCAACAAAGTAGTAATTGATTTTAAGTGAAACAATCGTATGTGCATTAAAAACATTGTTTGTCTTTGATAATTGTGTTCGTCTAACAATTCAATGTAGACATTAAATATTACGATAAAAACTGACATTTCAAGTTGCACCTTTCTTCCAAAAAATATGCACCAATTGCTTTCATCTAATGGCCAAAACGGCTTGCAGCGTTTGTGGTTGACTTCATGGTTTAGAGATCAGTCCAATCATTTTCAGGTCACAAGTCGGTCCAGCCGAATCTATGTGTGCCTTCTTTTCCATAATCCTTATAAAAAAAGTACTTTTTAACAAAAAAGGTTCGAATTTCTCTTAACGAAGGCATAAATTGGGATGCTCTTCACTGATAAGAACAGCTCTAGGAAACGCCAAGTGTGGTGAAACATCTCGAAGCAAGCTGATAATATAGAAACACTAGCGTATCTGTTGTGTCAGAATGAATATGATAACAAAAATGCTATCTGTATTCCAGGCTTATAAACAAATGTCATTCCATTACTAAAATGCGTTTCCCAAATATAAAATCACTAACAAACCTTTAGATTGCCAATTTTGACTTCAACATGGCTATCCATTCTTCTTCATTGGTACTATGAGGTATTTTGATATTATAATATGGTACGAGTTTATAAATTAAGTTATAATACCCAAGTTTGGGCAAGGTTGCTTCAGTTTCATGTCCATCGATTAATATATTGTTGAATATTGTTTATTGCTATGCTGATTATTTACTTCTTTATTTTTATCGTATTTAATGTCTAGGTGCATCTCGTATATCATTTTAACACGATAACGTTACAAATGTTTAAAAAAAACTATGAAGTACTTTATATATACACCATCTAGAATCGAGAAATTTATACTCGCTGCTCGTGTATGTAAAACGAAAATTAGAAAAATCAAGCTAAATTCTGAAATAGTTTTACCTGAGTGCCACATGTAGCACTGAGCGATTTTCTGTAAAATTAATTTTTTCTCCCGAAAACAATTTTGCCCGCATGAGTTCAACCTCACGATTTTTCGCGAGCTCCACCAGATTCACAAGTATTTCATCGTCGATCAGATTTTTCGAGTAGTCTATCAGAAGAGTCTCATCGCCGTCAGCAAGCTTAATTCTGTGAAAGAACACCGAAAAGGAAAAAAGCCTCCATTGTAAAGCAACTGCATCATAATCTAGTCAATATAAGATATCTATTAACAAAGATGCTTATAATAGATTTAAAAATAAGGCAAATAGCTACCAACAAAATATAAGCAGATTGATAAGTATGTTAGATTAAGAAAAGATCCCGACATGCGACCCATCTAAATAAAATGTACATTATTATAATTATAAGTAGCATACTTCCTGAGTCTACATTTGACTAGGCCCTTTTGATAGATTAAAATTAATTTTTGCTATGTTACACTGAGCGCCAGCAACCTCTCCGTTAAAATAATTGATCTCAAATGTATTTTCTTGTTCCTCGTATAAAACGTTTCTCATAGTTGATAGTTTTCGGGTTTTGCTTAGTGCGGCTAATTCAAACGCTTAAAATGAGATTAGCTGATTGTCCTGATTAGTTTAAAAAATTCGACTGAGAAAATAGATTGCCTTAACCATGAAAGTACTGTTGTACTTTTTCATCCATTTATGCACTGAAAATATCTTATTACATTATTATTGATAAAGCCAAAAATCTAAATGACTAGTTGACTCTATAGAAAACAAATCCCTATTTATTCAGCCACATGGATGAATGAGTCTGAATAATTTTACTATTCGAATCCACAATGTAAGCACTGTGGTATAGTGATCTCCCCAAATCTTGGCATAGACAAATGAAACTCTATTGAACATAGGGGAACCTGTCATACTGTACGATATTCAGTTGATATATTTGGTAACAGTTACCCCTCTAAAAATATAGCCCGCATAAAAGAATTCTAAAAAGAGGGTTGATGCTCACGTATACTTTTCCGCTCGGGATGGATCATTCTCGAAGAGCGAATTAATATTTAGAGTCCCTTTTTTCATGCTGTACAGCTTCTTGAGCTTGATGAATGTTCCGTCTTGCATAAGGCTCACCATGTTGTCACCTTTGTTGAGAACTGCAGCAGGATAAGAACTGAAATCTGTGCTCACTCACGACTGACTCCCCGAAAAAACAACTCCGCTAACACGAGAGGATCTAGTTTTTGCTGTCCACTCCGCGGATGACCTCTAACGCCTGTCGTCTGCTTAAGTGGAGGAGAGTCCTTAATGACATTGAAAATGGTCAAAAAAGACCTTTATACGATAATTAACCTAATAGCCGCATGACAAAAATGTGCGAACAACATCTCAAAGAACTATACGTATATGAAGTGTGAGTAAAGAAATTTATAAGCCGGAAAACATTTAAGCGTAGGGCTACACAAGTTTGGAGCTTGACAAACTCACTTCTAAGTTACAGGTGGGGGTTTGGCTAACACAATAAATGGTTTTAATTGATATATATTTATTATCGAAATCAATTTAAACTCCGGGATTTTTATGCAGTCTCTGAGATTACCTACAATATATTCTACCGAGTAGTCTGTTTTATACGTTGTACAATATCACAAAATGCTGTAAAAATAGATAACCAATTAAGTTATTCAACTTTTAAATTACGCGCTGAATTTCCGTACGCTTTTGCAACAAAGAAGGGTTAATATTATTTTCATGCTACTATAGCATCGAAATGTGCAGTAGCTTTTGCTAAAGAATGGAAAAAGTTTGCGAAACTATACATCTAAAAGTGCCATTTCTCCAACGTATTGGATATCGAATCACATTGAACGTATGGTATATGAACGTTTAAATTGTACGATGCATTTTTGCTATATCTGATCACGTCATTGAAAGCACATATATAAGGAAAGATCAGTTCAAGGTGACCACTGCATATCCATAGCCCTATCAATATCTTCCTTTATACTAAACAAAGGCGGCGACGAATGAATAACAGTAGCCGTGAAATCCTCAGCTCACGGCAAAAAGTCCTTCATTTTTCTTACTCTTGGCTAGAAGAAACATACTTGACTTGCAAAAGCGCCCTCACTTTCACATGGGCCTTTCGCGGTCTCGCCTTGCTCGTGCTGTTTTTGTGGCTAATAGCTTCTGATTCGAATTACAGCATTCAGGTGCTGCCGATGCTTCTCCAGCTGCCGCTGCCCTTTCGCCTTCCCTCAAACACTGTGAGCACCACAACAAAAACACGGTTTAGAGCAGACATTGATGAAGGATCGAAGTGTAGCAACATTTGAGTCGGCAACAGAAAAGTTCGGTGGTCTCGTTTTACTGTGTTTACTACTATTGTGACAAGTAAAGAACTTGTTTCAAAATCTGGCTTTGAAGGACATTCACACTGACTCCAGCTCGTTCAGTTTAGACACATGTATTTCATTCTGCAATTGGCATTTCGTTCCGAATAATCCCGCCGGTATTGTTTAGGCAACAGTACGTTTATTTCACAGCAAATGAAAATACTAACCAAATACTAACGAAGCGAACAAATGTTATAATTATGTACAGTAAGGTTATAGGCACCTTGCTGAACTTTCAACGAGTCGGTAAATTGTAGGCCCCTTTAGAGCTCCTTATTCTACAAGAACAGTGACTAACTTACACAAACCTTTTTAAACCAATAAGTATAGCTAAATATTAGTAACATATTTTTTCAAGTAAGCTTTTCTAAAAATTTGAAACCTGAATACGAATAATCATTGTCTAGGAATACGACTTTTAAATCGAAAAACTTCAGCCCGCTTACGCTATTAAAAATCAAATACTATATCAATAACAAGAAAATTCATCATAGCCGTTCATCTATAGGTCCCACTAGTATGGAAAAAAGAAAAACCAGACCACTATATTCTACGATATAGGTGTCGATGGTCTATACTATTAAAAATGTTCTAGATATTCGAATGTACCTATCCAGTGCTACTAGTACTATGACTCTGCTGATGTATTCCTCCTTAAATGCATTTAATGAATGAGGAACAATAACTAGTTTGATTGTATATTTCAGACGTACTACGCAGAGACAATGGCGAAGATACTACCGCCGCAGGTTGTCGAGGAAAGTTCATTGCAAGCGGGCCGTGTTAAAGCATCTACAATCATTAAACCGATCGTCTACGGAAACGTCGCCAGGTATGATTAACCTAAGCGTCGTGACATTTAATTTGACAGAACCAGTGCGTACATGATCAGCTCTGGTCCTATCGCGGGTATCATAAGTGATTCTTCAAATGAAATCATTATAAAATGCGTTGATCCATTTAGAAGTGCTGATTTCCCAAGCATTTATAAGATAGTACTCGTTCGAAATTTGTCATTTTTTATAATTATATAACTTTTTAATAAATATAACTTTTTAAATGTTCTTTAGGTATTTTGGCAAGAAACGTGAGGAAGATGGCCACACTCACCAATGGACAGTTTACTTGAAACCTCTGCTGAATGAAGATATGTCTACCTGGATTAAAAAGGTTTGCAACTTAGAATGGCAACGCAAATCTCTATTGAAGAGCATAGTTTTTTTTGCTTTCGTTTTGCGTAATGAACATCCATGCGTTTCGAGTGGGCTTATAAGATCTGCTTCATCACATAATTTTTAAATGAACTGTGCTTGTCGTAACAATGACAAAAAACAGAAGTATACTGAGTTTAAAAAAAAATTTTATTTGTAGGTTCACTTCAAACTACACGAGAGCTATGAAAACCAGAATCGAATAATATTGGTCCCGCCTTATGAGGTCACCGAAACAGGATGGGGAGAATTCGAAATTGTCATTAAGGTACTTGAAAATGGACTGGATAATTATCAATAATTACCATAATCTAGGGTAAATTCAGTAAAAAACACTGAATCTGTAAAATCTGCAAAATGTACAATTTAAAAAAAAATTGTACAATCCTGGTAAAAAAAAAATCATTTTACCATTATGAAACCTTTCTTGCCAGCAACATGAATTATGCAAAAGTTGATGGAACTACTTCAGCAAAAACGCCGCGGTGTCTAACTATGTACATTGAATGACGGCAAAACTATTTCTGTATTTCAGGTTTACTTCCACGATCCTAATGAACGTCCTGTCACCCTATATCACGTCCTGAAGCTTTTTCAAACAGCCAATTCCTCCGATGGTTCCTCGGGACCCCCACAACCGTGTCCTTCACGAAAAGCTCTTGTAGCAGAAACGTATGATGAGATCATTTTTTCTGAACCAACACTTCATATGCATCAATTGCTTACTCAGCCACCTCTGCCAGTCGTCCCGGGTAAGGCTACAAGGAAAAGCTTCAACGCTTATTCTCATCAGTTAATTGTACTTGGCATTTGTTTACATACAACAAAATTCTCGCTATACATCATCGCTTAAGTTTAACATTAAACTTTACTGTGTAACGTAAGACTTTACTGTGTGACATTTTGCTATTCACGAGAAATTAAACTATTTTTACTTAAATATTTCGCATTTTACGTCCGGTGCTGTTGTTAATTATTTCTTCAAATGGATAGCCACTAGCAAAAAAAACGATATGCATCTACGCTTAGTTTCGATTTGACACGACCTCACACATTCCTAAATTTAGTAAACAAACACGCTACCAATGTGCTATCACGGGGACTTATATTTTATACATTAATGTTGCTCCTAGGTCCGTGGCGCCATGAGACAGACATCGAGGCAAAGCATAAGAAGAGTCTTGAACAGATACTTGCGGCAAAACAGAAGGTGAGCTAAATTTACATTCGTTTATTTCCACCAAGATAGCGAATGTATCTGTTATTATATTTTACGGTATGCTTAAAGTAATCAGCTTTGAAGACCGGAAATTTCAGTATCACTTAATGTTGAACCGACATTATTATATTAGCATACAAACTGTTTAGTTGGTGATAAACTTACTTTACAGATCCGTAAAGAAATTTCCGAATTAAAGGAAAAAATCAAATCGACCCGTGAGACCATTGATATGTTTAAACAGCAGATGGGGCAACACGAGCCTGCACAATCGTAGCATAGGGATCTACAACAACTAACTAGAAAAAGGCCGAAACAGATGATCATCTGACAAACTTGGCAGCTGCAACGGGAATGCCGACTTCATAACTACGTGACTCATGAACTTATTACGTGACACATGCAGCCCTGTCACTGTACCTGGTGATAAAGAGGGCAGCATACCTTGTAAATAAAACGACATAAAATATATGGGATGAATTAGAAAAACAGCGATTGTAATACTGATTTATATTAAGGGGATCCGTGCCTCATATGACTCTAATAAATACATCAACCATATCATGTATTTTTATTACTTATCGGACGAGCTAATTCTAGACGCTAGTACCAGCAAGATACTTGTAGCAAAACGTCCACCCATTGATATAAGACACAAAGTAAAAATATGAAAAAAGTACAATAAGAAAAAAGCGTTACTACCGTCGTTATAAACTGATTGTACTAACCATGACTCACAAATAAATGGGACTTTACACTCAGGAATATAGTTCTTACTCTAGATTTAATATAGCTATTTAACAAAATTGTATCTTATATCATGTCGATACTTAATGCCTCACTTTTTTAATGCTAAATTAAATAAACAGTTTTATTCTTCAGTTTTTTTAGGGCATACGCTTATTTTGTGCTAGAAAGAAAAAAGAAAAGCTATGTATCGATGTCCCAAGTATAATGTGCAAGACCGCCCGTGGTGTGCTGAGCACGAATTTTGTGCATGCGCATTATTATAAAGTATTACTCCTTAAATAAGAAGCGAATTAACTATTGTGTATATGTATTCTGCTTCCATCACAATTTTAGGTAAGAACAAATTTGTGTATATGTATTCTGCTTCCATCACAATTTTAGGTAAGAACAAATTTGTGTATATGTATTCTGCTTCCATAAATATGTTTATTCAAGTTATTCTATATATACATCCACAATTTGTATGCATCTACTGTTTACTTTTTCGAAACAGGTTCTACCCAATTTAGAGGATACGGTGATCACCATCTACTTTTTATTAGAAAACCTTTCTCCGCGCCATACACACTATAACCTTACATAACTTAAACAAACAAAAAACATGTGTCTTTTAATGCAGCTACATTATGTACATGAGAAAGTCAATGATCTATGCAGTTAAGTAGCTAAATAATTTTATCTGTGTTGGTAGCAATATGCATGGATTTTATAATTCAAAAGTATGTACCACTAAAAACAAAAAGGAATCATAAACAGAAGGAACATAATGTTTGCCATTTGTTAGACAATGTGGGGTACGGAAATGCGATAATCGTCTACTAGAATCGACAGAAAAATAACAATCGCCATTGTACCAGTCGAGAGATCGCTTATCTTTCAATCACTTGTTATTTTTGTTATTATTTTGGGAAAACACAAAAATTTGGTATCACCTCCTACTCGCTGAATTGCCGGATAATAAATTACATGGCTCAACCTAATAAGATAGCGAATGTAAATGATCTAAGGGTGTCACGTAATATCAGCTTCTTTCATCTCGTTTTTCCATTGGCATTTGCAAGGCGAGTTATTTTTATCGGGGAAATCTCTTCTTCCATAAGTGTGCATAGACGATGAGACTTCAGTCGTCTGTTCTCGTGGTGATTAGTCGAATCTTGTAAACTGGTAGCTCGCGTTATTTTTCTACGCTTGTTCAAATTTAAAGCGTCTTCCCTTTTTTGTTTTGTTTTTCTAAAATTTTTCGGCTGATCAGTCGCCTGAGAGGTATGACTGTTTTCATCGGTTGTTGTTGTTGCCTGCTTTTTGGAGGCTTTGGGTTCATCGACAGGCTTTGATTTTGCCGCTGCTTCCTTGGCGAGCTTTTTCTCGATTCTCTTGATTTTTTTTTGCATTTGAGCCACCTTCTCGGTAACTCTTATTTGAATTTCCTCTTCCATATTATCGTCAATTGGCTCGTGGTCGACAAGTGCGTCTCGTCGAGCCTCGCTACGCCTCTTCGCGGCTTTGTGTGCGGTCCATTGTTCATTCTCTTCCGCCATTGCCGCCAATTTAAACTGCTTTCGAAAAGCTTCCCACATCTCCTCGGTCCTTTGGTTCACTCGACGAAACACCTCGTTAGAGATAATGACTCGACGGCGAATGAAGGGTCGTTGAAAAAGATCCTTTTGTAGGGCATTGACATCAGCATTTACTGTGCGAACGGGCATTTTACCAGACAAATGAGCTGAAAAGCATCGTATTGGCCTTAGCGGAGGCGATCTCTTTCGATTCAAATGACAGCTGTTTGCAGCCAAGCTCACCGCGGCTGGCGATTTGTTGACACTATTGGAATCTGAGGGTGCATTTGTCGCTTGTCGATTACGGGTGACATGGCTCAACTTTCGGTCAGCCTCGAAAACTGGTAGTGTTGAGGCTTGCGTTGCAGATTCGACATTAACAGGCACATAATGATCCTTTTCTTCCGAAACTGGAACACCGGGGTTGTCGACTATTATACCGGGAAGTGCATCAAGATTCAAATTTGCGAATGGAGGCGCCATTTCAGTTCCGATAAGGCTAAATTGAGAACTGAGTTTTTTGGAGTTCACAAGATTTTGCTCCTCTGCGACAAGTACTGAGAGAGACTTTTTAGCCCCTCGAGAATATAGGGTTGCCTGAAAACATAATAGCTAGGTTTACATCACGTGTACCACCCAGTAGACTCTAATCAGACGTTTAACACCACGAGTGCAATTACACATGGTAGTCCAGTACTTTCAACAGGAGCAAAATAGGTTTCAATGATTACTTGCTTCGCTTAATTTTTATCAGAAATATCAGGAAATGTTTAGTTCAAAATAGCGAGCAAGAAGTTATAAGGGTTGAATTTTGTTGACTCTTAATCGTTGTCGCACCTACGATCGTATGCTGATGAGGATTACTACGGGATAATTTAAGGAAACTGGGTACCTCTATGGAATTTCTGGCTATATCTGGTGGTGGAGCCAAAGCTTGTCGGATCGTTCCATCATTATCGGGCATTTTCACAAACAAGTGAGAACTCAGTGCGCTCTTACCCATGTCAACCTGCAACGAAAGATTATGGTTACAAATTACGCTTTGTATCATTACCACTGAAATTGCCGAAACTGTCATCGTCTCCTGTTTAATATTTTCAACTTACAGATTTTAATGCGAAAAATACGTTTGGCAACAATAAGTTGATTCGCCAAGAAAACATCATCGTATAGCGATGGTTTTTAAACTCAAATTGTTTACCCGATATGCGCTAGAGCCCTCATGAATTAAAATAAAACAATAATAAAAAAAGCAAACTGACTGCGGCTATAAAATTTTATTTCCATCTAAACTTGCAATGTGTTTTTCCATGACTAGCAATTCGCGAACAAACCTGTACGCAGGCGGAACAATATTCTCGCGGATGTTCAAATATAGGAGCTAAAGGCAAAGGAATACAAGCTGCCTTTGACGTGGTCGTTTCAACAACAGATGATGCTTGGCGTTCATGATTCGGGGTATCTGGTTTATTCTTAGGTATATTTTCATCAACCAATACCTCACAACAGCTGGTGCCTTTGTCCACCTTTGGCTTGCCCTATTAAAAAGTAAATATGCACAATACACAAAATATGCCAATATTCTTACACACACAGACACACACACACACACACATATATATATATATATATATATATATATATGATAAGAGGCGTCCAGCGAGTAAAAAAATGTTTTGATATATATGATGACCGTAAAATAAAGCCGTATTTAAGCTAGACAATTTTCTAAATAAGTGAAGGATCAGATATGTCTCACATTGTATTTACCCGTCCAATTCCTGAGCTTACCCTATTGTCACAGTTCCTATTCGCAACTAGACCGCATACATCAGAGATTTTCCTTCGTTTTGGGAGACTTTCTGTTTGATCCAGATCAACCTGTTTGGAAAAACAACAGCTATGAATTTAAGGCTGAACTGGATAATCTAATCAGATTTAGCGGGCTTTCATTAGTAACTAGTCTTATCTACGTTGTCCCCTCGGTGCATTTAACTATTAAAGTATACATTTGCTTAAAATTCAACAATTCAACAAACAAAGGGTTTGGTCATAAACATATGTTAATTTTGCAATATTCGCGCTTACGAAAGCTGTAGACAAGTTTGTTGCCGTATATAGATAATTAACTGCTGAAGAACCTTCCTTTTACTATTTCCCGAACAAATTACTGTGTCGCGTCTCTATTAAGCCCACAAGAATTAACCATAGCTCTAGAACCGAAACTGAAATAGCGTCTATAACGTTAATTGGCGACGAATTATAGTTTGCATTTCAACATAGACAAATGAATATACCACGAAGGGATCCGATAGCCACTCACCTGAACGCATAGCGATTTATAGCCGGGAACGTACATGATATGACTGAAGTCGGTAGTCTGAAACGCTTAAATGCTTAATAAGTTTTACTTATATTAATTGAGGTAGGACCTCATAGTAAGTTATTTGCTATTTGATTTGCAACAAAAAAAAAGACGACCAATTATGTCTCAAGTGTAAAAGAGCGTCGCAAGAATGTCAAACAACGAAAATATTGGTACTCACGCTTGTCTGCATGTCTTGTAGGACAGGTTTACCTTGGTTATCTTTCTTTTTCTTTTCTTTGAGGACCGGTGTTACCTAATGAAGACCAAGATTAATTTACAGTGTGTCAGTCCTTATTTCTGCATTAAAGCCTAGGAAGATTAAAGCAACATCAATGATTATGATATAAGTTATTCTATTTTACGTTCAACAGTATCAACGGTCTCGAAGCAAAAGCCTCACGATCGGTATCTAGTCACATATGGCACATGTGGCACTTCGATAGTGAGTGCTTCGTTGAAGGTCATTCAAGTAAAACGCAGAAGCATTGTTGAATCAAGATTTATTTTTTCTCAAGATATACTTTTTCACTTTTCCCTACTCGTATTCGATTGTTACCTCTTTCAGAGTCGTCGTTAATAGCTACGATGGCTAATTTGTAACAATCATGTAGATATTCGATTATAATAAGCATTTTTGCTCATTCTGTAAAATTCTGAATAAATACTAGTTATGTTGAATTTAAGTTTCGTATTACTCTAGTCCTTTTTACTGCATTACTCTGTATTCCCTTTCTCTAATATATATATCCTTATTTTATCATGCAAGCACTCTTTAACGCCCAGTCATACGATTAAGTAAGCAATACCGGTCACTACCAGGCGCTACTTACAGTAATTTCATAACTGAACGATATTCCCTTCATTCAATCCTAATGACCTATTACTATCGTGTTGCTATTGTTAAAAATTGATGCGAGTTTTATCACTCTTTAAATTATTTCCCACTAACTTAAATTCACTCATATATTGTATATATGTTATATGAACACTTATATTATGCAATGAGTAGCACATCTGTAATACAAAACCAAATAAGTAGGGATTGCAAAGAATACGAAGAATATATATTAATTCGGTGACGAATGGTGCACCCCATTAGGCTCAAGGCAGACGCATAACAAATCCCAGGCAACCAGGTCTAAACCTTTCCGCCCGAGATCATTTGTAATCACATATATCCAGCCTGATTGAAAACAATATATTGCTGACATAATCCTCATCGTACTGGACAGAGTTCCTACCTGGGTAAAACAGGTCCGCATTTCTCTCTTGAATCGATTTCGCTTTTTCCCTTCTTTTCCCTTAGGCTGATCAGCAAAAGCTGGCGTGAGAACAACAGCTGGCAAACATGGTATCATCGGTGCCTCAACACTACCTGAAACATTTCTATTGGCGTTCTCTCTCTGATCAACTCGAGGATGACGATCACAATTGTCAACATTTAGTTGAGTAGTATTTCTTGTAGAATGCCGATTTGCATTCATGGGGTTGTTCGTAGGCCCCCTATGGCAGATTTCCTTGAGAAACGTTGCATACGATGGGTTCTCTATAGAACCAGACAGAAGGTCGTCACATACCGTTAATATGTCAGAAGCTGGCGCGCGGCAAGATAATGAACGTTCTTTTGAAATATCAATGTGAACGTGGTTCAACAGTTGCATCTTGTCTATTTGTTGAGCTTCTGTTCTCTTTTCGTCTTTCATTGGGCAGCATCCATTATTTGTGAGCATGACACAGTTTTTGACATGATCCATTGAAGTGATGCTTATGTTAATAACGTTAGAGGGCCATGTTACATTTTCGAGATGTCGATGATAACCTACTGACGCTACCGCAGAAGGCTTAGGGTTTTGAACGGCAACTAACTTGCTCATGGAGTTATTTATGGTAGAATTATTTCTCAGTCCGTTAGCACAAAGGCTAGATCTTGTGTTGGCCATTGCCGATCCTTTTTCGGCTTTAAAACAACGCATTGCATTGCTTCGCAGGCTAGGAAGTATTTGCTGACTGGACGTACTAACGTTCTTTATAGCCGCTTTCGTAGCATTTTTACCGCCATATACAGAACCTCTTGTTTTTTCTGCGGACGTCCCGTTTAAGGAATTATAATTTCCATTCATTATGGCATTCATATCCTGAGCTGCATTTTCCAGTTTACTTTTTCTTATTGCTTGTCGCTTTGGCATAGATACAAGGACCCTTGATGGTGTCCCAGATCGTTGACGCGCTGCTGTAGACACAGTGACTTCAGTCGAATTACAGAGTTGTAACTTACGTTCGGGTGTTTTTGTTTTGCACTGTCGACCTGATCCCTCTTGTTTTCCTAAAATTGGATGATCAAAAAATGGCTTGATTTAAACATGTTACATAAATTAGAAACCCCGATAACAAAACTCAATAGATATTACATGTTTAGTAAGTACTTAGGCTAAGTATGTTAAATTTTACGCTCAGTAAGGTCATTAATCAATAGATTAGACGGCTGGCACTCAGCACGAAACCGCTTACTCTTTTTGGTCAAGTTCACCATAAGTATGAATGCACTCTACGTATTCGTCGGCTTAAGTAGGTGAACATGCCACACCTGTAGTGAACCAACGTAGCGTAACCGTCTCACCTTGACCTTCGCGCGCCGTCATAAGCCTTAAACTTTTTCTCACTGGTGTGGACAACTTCAATTCACTCAGGGTAGATTTACCGTCAGACAAACATCTGATTCTCTGCGCTTTATACTTAGTAATTGGTTGTTCTGCTTGACTTCTGTCTATAGTATCTTTACTGCGGAGAAAAGGGGTAACGTTTTCTGCCGGACTGTTGTGCGTCTCCGTCTGCCCAGTCAGTGCAGTAGCGATTTCAGCAATTGATGGACTGCTACTGTCTCCATCTGTGGAAAGTACAGCAGACCGGGGAGCTACATTACGAACTGTGTCTTCTTTATTCTGGTTTAAAGGTTTTTTAATTGTGTCGGGACCGCTTTGAATCACCAAAAATCGCGAGCTTCTTCTGCGTGGTGTGCCTATATATTCGTCACAAACAGCTGGTCCGATACCGGCTTTTTGTTGTTTCGCCAACGACAGCAGTGTAGGAACCGAAAGAGAACTTTCGTCTCCTTGGCACGCTGGTACGGCATTCTTGGCTGAAAGAGGAAGCGCAGTGCCCGCCTGGCTGTCCACCTAAACAAAACGAAGCGTCAATTAAGTTTCTAAAGCGCTGCTCCCGATTTAAGATGAAAATACGAAGCTGCATAGACTGACTGCTTAATTAACTAAACATGTACATTTATTGACAAATAATGGAATATAAACAATATCTTGGCATTCTTATTGTTTGGCTGGGTTATCCACAAGCGTTTGCACATTCATTTTTGTATGCGCATGGTTAGTACTGACGGAATCTAATTTATAACCTACATCTTAATTATATTAGCTGCAGACAATGCGCACGTTTTTCGAATTTTTGTAAACAATAAATGGTGGCGCGCATCAACCGTCTAAAATTTGTTGTGTCTTCTTCCTAAGACCATATGTAAACACGGAAAGATACTTCAACAAAATATGCTGCAAGTGCCTTCCTGACGATCACGGTTACTAAATATGGTCGTCAGCCGCTGCGATTTCAACTTCAATACGGGCCCTAAATCAGTAACTAGCTAGTCAACTTTGAAGTACTCCTTCCTTAATTTGCAAATCTTAATTTGCGATATTGCTAGTTGTAAAATCGTATAGCTCAGATACTTACTATACAAAAAATTTCCAATAGAATTAAGTTATATTCTGATAGCAGGCCGAAAATCCCAAGAAAGAAAAGGCTTGTAAAGGCCAAGGAGTTCAAAAGAAGCAAAGATATGCAAAAAGACTAACCGTTGGAGACTATCTTGACGACCCAATTGCCGACTGATATTCTCTCTAGAATGACCCTTAATTTCTTTATTAAAAAACAACGTGAATCAAAAATAACTTTAAGCCATGAAGTTTCAATTTAGCCCTGTTAAAGATCTTCCGGTCTGCCTCATAAAAGTACATTTTGATCTTTGAAAAACTAACGATAACGTAGACCGTTGGTAAAAGGGAGGTTTTTCAACGCAAAAATATTGGATCATAGCTGATCTTCGGTCAGATTACAAGAACAATGCATTGTTGGTCACTGGAACAAATTGCTCTTTTTTTTTTTATTAAGAAGAACTGGCTTTTACTTCTGGTACCAAAAGCAGCAAATCAACACCTGGCTGTTACGACAAGTAGCCCGCCAAAGTTTCCATCAATGTGGACACATTTCATGGCCACGCGTAAACTGAAGCTGTCATAATTAAAAAAAACCACTTACAAGTGTGGGATCTGGAGCAAATGCTGAAAATGATGGTGGTTCTGGAGGAGTTTTAGCCCTCAGAAAACCCGGACGTCGACGACGTCTGAAAGATTAAATGATGATATTCAAATTACATCTTATATTTACTTCAATAAAAATATTTATATAATATACAAAGACTTAACAACTGTTTAGGATTACAGGTAAAGTTGTATACCAAAGCGTGGACACATATCAGAGTATATATATATATATATATATAAAGCGTATAACATGCCAATTAAAGGGCTTTGTATTTTTCCCATATCTTAGACTTGATTGACTCTCTTTTTTTCCATAACGCTAAAGTTACCTAACGTCAGTTGATGTCCGTAGTTCACGCCGGTGTACCGACCTAGACTAATGATCATTACCTCTGAGAAAAGAGTGTAGGCACCATGCTTCAGTTTCCCTCACATGCTAATGGAGAATTGAACTGTTGCTACTTCACGGACCACAAATAGAAATAAAAGCATAAGAGTACTGTAGTTCTAGAGTTCTTCAATATTTAGGTGGGCAGAACTCCGTTACCCGTCGTTCGTGAGCGGCCTCGCAAATTTAAACACAACTCTCACGGGAAGGCCCTTAAGAGTACGCGGGTGCCTTTATTTAAGCGATTACTAATAATTGTTGTATAAAACCAGCCATCTTAAATACGAAAAGCGCTCTAGACCATATAGTGCGATTAAATAAAAACAAACTATAGCAGGTATAAAAGAGAATACCGTTATAATATTGGTAGTATTGTCACGGAATAGAATAGTCATACCCTAAGAAACTTCCGAAGCATCAGAAGGTTCGACTGTATAAATAGCGCGGCGAATAGATTTCAAGATAAAGACAAATTAACAATAAAAGTTAGTTTGCTTCGATCAGAAGTTTGATTTACTTAATATAGGAAAAAATAACTCTTATCTTCAAAAAAAATATTAAAAAAACACGCAAATTGTGTCACCAAAATTAGCTTGTAGATTATCTGCCTTTATTCGTTTACTAAACTGATTGTTCAATAATGTTATTCTTGTTGTCATAATGTCATATTTCGGATTGTAACCTTTGTCAAATACGTAACAGCTCTTTGACCGACTGAAACGAATTTTTGTTTACCTAGTTGACGCAGTATGTTACGGAGACATCAAGTCTCAGTATGTATGACACTGAAATAATTTACTCAACGCGAGTTCTTAATGGACAATTTGTGCATCTTGTTGTGCATCTCGGCCACCACCGATGGCCAGCTTTTTTGGTTGCAACAATCAGCCACCCGAAAGCATTGTTTGGACCAGTAGCAGACGACTTCGCTGAGTTGCAGGCGCACCGAGTAGATTCTACTCTTCTGAACGAAGTGATTTTGCTATTTGTTAGACGCGATTGTGTCGAGATCGAGAGTGTACGCACTATAAGGTTTGTGCGAATCATTGGAATCCTGTTGATGAAGTGAGCTATTAGAGATCAGTTTTGAGTTGAAGTTAGCGACACGGCATTGTCTGTGACGTTGTAATTTGCTCCCGCGTAGTAAATAGTGACGCGTTTGCTTAATAAGCAAGCAGCAATCGGGTCCCGGTGCATGTGTCTGTCCGCATTTGGCATCCACTACGACGAAAGGCCAGTTTCGTTGGAATTGAACCAGTTCTAGCGACGTTGTCCTTTGTGGAACAATGTCTGATCTCTCGGAGACTAACGGAGTACCCTCCTCAGGCTCATGCGGATCCTCTGGATCAGGCCAGCCTCTGCCGGCAGGTGACGCTTCTGGTGTGAATCATGATGAGGCGATCATGGCGCAGGAGAAAGCTATTGAGAAAGAAATCTCCGACAGTATACCACTTATCGATAACAAAAAGCCACTCATCAGCTTAGGTTAGTTTGGTGCTTATGAACATTTTGCAAAAAAACTAAATTATGCCTTAGCAGTTTTTAGGCTGTGATTAGTGCCTTGGCTGACATCAGAGAGCAGCTGGGTAAATCGAAAATCTGTTGGTGTGTCCAGCACGTGCATCTCCCTTCACGTCTGAGCGTGTACGCTTGTCTGTTTTAGATTATGTTTGTATGTCAATGTGATCGTTCATAGGCTGAAGGCTATCTATCACAGTATTATAACCTGTGCAATAAATACGGATGTTTCCAATAAGTACTCTGAGTACTATGTTTGGTTCTGTGTTAATTGAGCATAGCTTCAGATGTCTGAGACGTTTCAGCATGGTACGAATGTTTTTTTGCCTCATCATACGAATTCTACTATTACCATTATCTGCAAAAATTGACTCTGTCAGTGACCTCCTGTTTTTCATTGATATGTCGATTTTCGATTGTGAAAACGTCAAATATAAATATTCAGCTAGAACAATCCAGGATAACAGAGAAGCGCTCTGACTTTTAGAAATTCTCCATTTTCTCTAAGAGGTGATATACTCTATATATGAGAGAGGGCGCTAATAAGGAAAAAAGGCAACAAGTTTTCGAAATGCAAGCAGTATCGTCTCCTTTTCAGATAGCAATACTTTACATGGGCCTGATAGCCACATAATTTAGTCTGACATTCTTTTCATTTGTCTATTCAACATCAACTTTAGACGTTAAAGAAAAGCATATAAGCGTGTATAAAACCGAGCCCTTCCATTTATTTTGTCTTCACTCGCTTTTCTATTGGTCTGCTTTTTATGCTTTGATTTTAATATCACCTATTTATATAATAGCTGGCTTACGACTTGCGGCTGCGGCCTACCAGCTAAATATGAATTCGGTCATTACACGACTAGCTGTATTCAGCTACATTACTCGACCTCATATTGGTTGTTTATAACCACAAGATAAAAACATAATTTGCTTCTATTCTAAATTCTAATAATTTAAGTCATGAATATGTTAAATATCTTGTATGATTGTTGGTCTACATTCCAAGCTTTAGTGCCTTTATAACATAATTAAACGTTGTGCATTAAGAAAAACCAAGATGTGTTCCACTTTTTAATCCCTTGCTTTACAGAGTCTGAATACGCTTCTGATGATACTATTTATCAGGAGAAACTTCGTGATCTGGAATCCCGATTTGGATTTATTAGAAAGACTAGACCAGATGGTAACTGCTTTTTCCGTGCCTTTGGGTTTGCCTATTTGGAGTCGATGCTCTCTGATATTGATGAACTGCGCCGCTTCAAAGATCTGCTGGGAAAGAGCAAAGAAGAACTTAAGGCTCTTGGATTTCCTGATTTCACAATCGACGATTTCCACGACACCTTCGTTGATGTTCTGAAGCGACTCGAGGAGAAGCCTACACTTGATGAGCTGCATGCCGTATTCAATGATAGAGGTCTCTCAGAGTACATGGTTGTATTTTTGCGTCTATTAACATCGGGCCAATTACAAAAAGAGTCAGACTTTTTTGGTGCCTTTATTGAAGGCGACCACTCGCTCAAAGACTTCTGTCGGCAGGAAGTCGAACCAATGTACAAAGAATCGGATCACATCCATATCATCGCCCTAACAAGACACTTGTCGACGGGCGTTCAAGTACTTTATATGGATCGTGCGTCAACCGATGGAAAGGTGATTAAACACAGCTTCCCCGACGACGTTAAACCTCGGTAAGTTTTTCGTGCATTACATTCCAGGTTTTGACTTTTCAACCTATGGTAGTGTTCTTAAATTAAGCATGTTGATGTATTAAAAGTCATGTGTGTAATCAGTCACATAATCATTAGTACAGTGCTAAGTAATCATAAAGACTAATATTTCCTAAAAATTATAAATCAGGTTGTCTCGAAAAAATCTTGATTAGATGTGTTTTAAAACCTTTTTCTAGTTATGCAAATATTTCAATTCTGTAATGTAAGCATTATATGCATTCACTGACTAAGCATTTCTAATTAATGTAAAGGTTATATGTATTCAATGAATAAGCATTCCTAATTAATGCAAGGGTTATATGCATTCACTGAATAAGCATTTTTGTTTTTTAATTCAATGTGGTTGTCTTGCAGAGTCCACTTGCTCTATCGCCCAGGTCATTACGACATTCTCTATCCTATCGGAGGAGCTGACGGCGACCAGTAGGCGACCATTTGCGCCAAAGACGGTCTCACAGTTGCCCTCGTAAAATCGAGGATTGGTTTTGACGTTCCCGTTCACCAGACTCGCCACGTATGGAGGATTTACCTCTTTTTAGGGTCTCGGATGCTAGATGGCTCCTATTGCGTTGTCGCTCTCGTTAGAAGTACGGCTTTAAACAGGGGCCGTTCGTCGACGTCGCAAGTCATTTAAATAGGCCTGACAATTTGTATGGGTAAAAAAGATAATGCTAACAGACATCCGCGTAGGGGGCATTACACCACGTTCGACGCGGAGCATAACCAATCGTAACTATAACAGCCTAAGAGTTGGAAGGGTTCCAGGGCGCTATGACGTCCAGTGTATGAATATTAAGATTATTATTATTATAGGTATAACACTATTAAACGAGGAATATTATAATATTATAATCTTTATTAATAAAGATAACCATCAGGAAAGAAAGCAAGGGAGAGGGGAAAAGACATACTTTGAACGCAGCGCAATAAATGTTCTAATTGCGTCTAAACGATAATAATTCCCCCATGACGCGCTGTAGATGCGGGGTCGATAGGAATTGCGAGACATCGTACTTTTATGGAGCATTTCATTGCTTCTCGACTTTATGATGATGAAATTAAGAATAGGAACCATCGCGATAGGAAGTGTAATGGTAAACCGCAAAAATTACCAAATATATATGGTTAATAAAAGGGAAGAGTCTATGGGAAATAGAGGAAGGTCGATTAACTGCCCATAGAAGTGGCACACAATAGTAATCTAAAAAAAGCAAGCAAGAGAATGACAGAAGTTCGATTCTGATCTAATTTATTAACGACATTCGCAAATGCTGAAATTGCATGTGTAGCGAGTCAGTTGAATGAATTATCACTATGTTATAGCCGGTATACGCAATAATAATAGACTCGTACCATCAATCACATAACTACATCTTGCGATCCTCAGAACACGTACACATTTCTTTATAGCACATCGAATTCCCTTCATCCAATCTCGTCATTCGTGACACGAGTATTCGCGGGCCAATCAAGAAAATTTCGTTGTGATATATACTATATATGTATAGTATGTTTTCATACTTGATTTGTTTGCCCGATGTATTGTCCGTTGTTTAGTTGATTGAAAGCTGATTTAAACAAGAATAAAAATGAGACGGAAGATATTTGAATCTTTAATAAGAATCTTGTTTAGTTACTGTAATGCACTGTATGTGAAATTAGTAGAAAATTACGTAAAATATATAAACAGGAGCAGTGATCTGCCTGTAGTAGGAAATAATTCAGTCACGTATTTATCCTATAGAAAGCAAATTTATTCATGTTGAACATAGTTAAATGTTCACAGAGGTGTAGAGATAGCGATAGACTTTGTAGTCAAATCTTCAATATTGAAATGTATGCTATTTATTCTCAGACTCATTGTTCATAAGTTGTTTTATTGTAAAACCAGATAAAATGGTCTACCTTTCGAGTTATGTTTAAAGTTTTTCTGCTTTACTAAACGTAAAACAAAGCCCTAGATTTCACGAACTTCCATTTTAATAATATTAGATCTTCAACATTTTTGGTATTTTAAGTTTAAAAAAATCATAATCAATAATAACACGACAGAAAGAGACAGATCAGCAGGCACCTCTATACATGCTTAGATTAACAAATAAATAGGGATTTGAGTGATGAGGGTCGAGTGGCTCGATAAGTCGTTAACGCCACTCGAACCAGTGGGCTTGAAAATAGAACTTCTGGCAACGATAGCATTCTTCAGGAAGCATATCCAATAAAGTTATGGCACCTGAGGCAACGAGATTGGTCTAAAGCTGTTGGAACCCTTCTTCATTTAAAGGACATATAGACTGTGGCGATGATGAATTGCCATCAGCGGTCGATCTGAGCGATAATTTACTTCGGCGCGACTTATCTGTGCTAATTGGTGCGTGTTTAATTTAGTTCTAAGTCTTGAATAGAGGACGGAAGAAAGGTTACTCTGAAAAGCCTCATTACGCTTTCAAGTAACTTTCTGAAAACCATCGGGATTTTTATTTCCAGTGTATGCCAAAGTGTGGTTCTTCCAATACCCATAGTTGCAATATATAATTATGAAAAATAAGCCACAACTATTTTTATTATGATCCAATAATGGTCTTTTCTTCAAAATTTGGTAAATATATATTAGAGGGTAAGCTCCAGGATAAGCAAGATTCTAAGCAAATTTTGACTAAACTCTATACATAAATATATGAAAGATGAGGCATTTAAGGCTTTAGTCGTGCTGAGAAAAAAAAATAGTTGTGCTGTGCGGCTTGTGTGCAGTACTGGATTTTCCTTATTTTTAAAAAAGTAATTATCCAAACAATAATTTTAAAAATACGTTGTGGTCTAGGTTTAAACCCGCGCACAGTTTTCGTTTGTTGCTAGAAGCCAGCCGTATGATGGAATGTGTAATGGTGATATCGGACGTTAAACCTGAAAAATACAGAGACGAGGATCATGAAGCATGCGAAGGCAGTGACTCAATCGAGAAGGACGAAGTAGTAAAAGATGAGACGCCACGGTGGTACTGTGCGACAGATGGAGTCCGTAAAAAACAATTTGAAGCAAGTGATGCTGTTATGTTTAACTGATCATTTGACGGTGAAGAAGCAATTGTCAAAAAGGAAATGATGGACGAACTATGTGACAAACCTTTGGGGGACGATCAAGGCATTAAAAGTGACGCGATAAATAATAATGAGTCCTCTGAAATTGTATGGGAAGCAATCGAAGGAAGGCGGAACAGAGGCTCATGAGGGCGTTGAGAACAACGAGAACTGCGGGTGATAAGCCAGCCTGGAACTGATGGATGATGAATAACACAGATGATTCTGTATTTAACGCTGGCCCTACACACGATGATGACGATGTTGCGGGCGACGAAGAAAAATGACGAAAAAAACTTTAGGTGTCCCTTATCGATCTCAGATAGTAGTTTGGGGCGAGGGGTGTTTTATGTCAAAATGAGTTTTGCAAATCATTTTCGAGCGATTTCGCTACGCTTAGAGCTAATACCATGCATGACCCACTTTGCTTCGACAACTTCTTGACCTCGGCGAAATTTGAAATATGGTAAGTGTCAAAAATATAATTCTTTTTCACAAAGAATTTCCTATTTTTAAGGGCTAAATTTGAAGTGAACGTTAATGCACCGCACAAAAGGTTTACATTGGACTCATAAAAAACAGAGAACCCATTCGCGTGGTTTATAAACTAACAATGAAGAGGTAAAAAAGGAAGGAGAACGTTATAAAAAAACCTCTATTCGTATTACGACCTAATACTATACAATATCCAGTACGTAAAAACTCGTCCACCTCTATACAAAGATCTCATTTCACTGCAATTCTCAATGGTGCAACAGACTCAGATTATCCAAACTATTGAAATATAATTATTTTTTGCAGCTAACAATTGAACTAGGAAACCTTATTGAAACTAGCTGGTCCCATGCGATCCTGGCTTTTACGTAGATCCATACGAAAACGTTTTTGATATAGGAATTTCCGGTGATTTACGTAAATCGAGACACTCCGTGGTTGTAATATTTCTAAACAATTACTTGCAACAACATATGTTCTCTGATTGAGCCCAAATCATCATTTTTTAATGGGAAAAACGCATCTAAGAAAAAAATGTACGTGTTTGTGTTCCACAAGTAACTTTAGATGCGTGTTTGTACGTTTGCTGCTGTAATAAGGGCATTTATGCGGCGTAACAAACCTCACGTTTATTTACTCTGCATCATCACGTAACATCTCTTCGGTGGTGCAGTGGTAACGTGTTCACGTACTAGACCTTCGGACACGTGGGATAATCCAAATTTTAAACCAATCGTAAACTCATTTCATTTCGTAATAGGAATTAGCCACCTGTGGCAGTGCTTAATGACGATAGCATGGGGCGTAAAGTTCGAAACATTCATTTTCGCCGTACGTTCGACTTGGAAACTTATTCGCCGCATGGGCCATATCCATGCACATATTCGTTTAAACGATTTACCATCTCGGCAATCCAATTAGTTTTGTTCAAAGTAACCAAAACCAAAGCTTTTAAGCTTTACTCAGCTATTGATTCAAGGTACATGAAAATCATTACACACAACTTATTTGCACATTTGTGGCATGACTAAATTGTAATAGCATTTTATTTACATCTTTCACGTTGTTTCCTTCTGTATTCTGTCGACCTTTACAACCCTTTCAAATAACATTTTTTGCTGATTTATGAACTAGCACGACGAAGAAGTGTGATGTTCTGACCTCCTATAATTACTTATTTTGCATCTATAATTGAGTTTAGTTTGCTTTAACCTTTCTACTTGCGATAAAATTTTTCCACATTTTTTTAATAACAAATTTTTTAGGTAGATTTTAGGTAGCGGCAAAATAAGTTTTTTCGTGCAGCTATATGGTGCGCTTACCATAAGTTAATGATACGAGCGAAATATACTCGTATACCAGCAAAATACAATATTCTAATTATTGTTCGCTGCAAAAAAAAATCAATCGATTAAAGCCATCAATAGAAATGCCGAATTCGTTTTAACTTGGTCTTTTGTTTCCTATATTGAGAAAGACTTAGATTTTATGATGTGCCTATGATTGATCTACATTCATTCGTTCTTTGTAACTTAATCGCCAAAATTCTAAAAAGAGGTGGTAAAACGGTTTATTCATTATCATACTATACTTACTCTCTTGATAATCACGCGCGCATCTATAATCAACATTCGATTTATTAACAGAAGTATTCTCTACCTATGGTGTAATTGCCATAATAATCATTGTCACCAATAAACACTCCAGCCTCTTACAGAGGCAAATCTCGATCCCCGCAATGTGTTTCCACTTATTTTTCGACATAAAAAGCATGCGACTCATTCATGTGCAGGTTTCTTCTTTCAAAGCAATTCGAATTACTATCTGGAACCTGGAACGCATTAATTCAGCGTTCTAATATGTGTACCGTTTTTACAATGATTTTCAAGCAAGTGGAAATAATCGCAATTATAAATTATTTTTACCGATGGCTGAAAAGCTTTATTTTCAGGTAGACTTCGGTTTAGTGTAGTTGCACCAACGACAATTCTACTTATGAGACTTACGCGTTCATTGTAAACAATAGAACGACGGAAGGTCTCGGTACTGGCTGAAATCTCAAATTTCACGCGTATTTTGGTATACTCGATTCTACAATAACCTCAATCTAGTCTTAATCGGATACCGTTAAATGAAACCTATTAGATTTTTCTTGTGCATAGCGTTCTAACATGCATCCCATTTGATGCACGGATGAGCTCTTTAATGAATGCGATGGATTCGTTACTAAAAATGTTGGACTTAGCAGATTAAATAAGTTTTCCCATTATGGACAAACAAATACTACCGTCCTTTCTTATATATTGACAATTTATTTAGGCTAGCCTCAACTGAAGTTTTTTAACACTTTCCTTAGTAGTGCGCTATATAATGAAAATTTAACTGACATATGTTTAACATGCATACTAAGCATAATTATTATATCTTCTGTCCGCTGGGCTGTCTTTTCTGTTCAACATCGTCCAAGCCCGATTCCTTAAAATTCCGACAATTTATAAGTCAAACAGTATGAATTGTTCTATAATGTTTTTCCTACAACTTTTTTTTTTATAGAAAAGCCTTTCTTTGCCAAGCCTTGGGAATCTCCTATATGTACTTCACAGCAGACGTGTTCTACGAATCATAATCACTTTTTTTCTGAATCTACCAGTGTACACCTTCCACAAAACAGGACGCAAATGGCCGCGCTTTCAGTTTGTCGTATACCAGTTTAGTTTTAGATATATTTCTCCTTTCTTCCGTTTTCATCTCTCTTGCGTGCACCTATCTTTCATCGGTACGCATTTAAAGCTAGCTGGCTATGTTTAATATCTGGAGCTAAATAGACTCGCTTTAAACACCTGGCTTTTTTATAGGCATGGAGTCAGGATAGTTTGTTTTTTACAACGAAGATCTGACGATTTTTTTGTCGGTACTGTTACTATTATTATCGATGTGAATACAATGGTGCAGTATTTTGTGCCATTGGAGCCTTCTACCAATTTCGATTCATCCAGAGAACTCCTTTGAGTACGAAGTAAAATAGAGCAAAGGAGCAAAATGCGACTTCCCGTTGCTGACGCTCACGATTTTCAGCCTCCAATACACTCAAACGCCTGAAAGGAAAAATTAAATCAGAGAAATCATTAGCTATTACACATATTATATGTCCTAATTTGGATGTGGTAGTCGAAGTAAATTCTCGATAATATTTCCTTTAAAAATCATGGGCGTAGTAAAACTAGCACTCTTCTCCAGTTACACACAAATTAACAGATAGGATAGTAAAATAACTTTAGATGCTCTAGTTACGATCAATAACAGTCTACGTTGAAAATGGAAAATAGTATCCACCTGTCTTTCGATCTTACTGAAGTAATATTAAATATATCATAATTAATAACCACAGATCAAATACATGAATTTCTTCCAATGTTTGAGATCATCAATGAAGCTAGATTTTAAACCATTTCCTGCAAGTTATCGAATTATATATGCTTAGCATATATTTATTGTAACCCATACATATTTCACAGAATAATGGAATCACATAATATAATATGATTTTTTGAGAGTTAAAAGGTATTTTTGCATCTTTATCGTTTGATTCATGCAAAAAAGTAAGTTGCAGTACACCGTTTTCTTTTTGAGTTATGCTGTCTTACGGGGTTAGTAGTAGTAGGTCTAGTAGAGCGGTTTAAAACAATAGTTACTAAAACTGAAACTATGAAAAACAGTAACACGTTTTTACGAGCTAAATAAAAGACAAACGTAATAATGGCACCATCATTTTACAAATGAAGTTTTTGCTTTCAACACACCGATAAACGGCAAAAATTGGCATCTTCAAAGACTATAATTAGCTATTTTAAAAAAATGACTACTACACTAGCTAACAATGGTCGTATCATAAATATGAAAATACCTTCGTGTGTCTCTCAATTGTTTTTGCAGAGAGGAGATGTCATCTCGTGAAATATCTCCTGGCGGGGTCCCCACGAGTGAGCTGTTTAGCTTTTCGTCTTCAAGATCATCCAGTGATGACAAATTGTTCACCGATTCCTCAAATTTCACCTAGCCTCAATTAATCAGTCATAGAGATCAAGACAATATTAAAATGAATTCGTTTATTTTCCACATCGGTTACACAAGTTAGCTGTTATTGGCAGCTTGTCTAGCCGTGCCAACTGATCATACGAAATATACGTATTAAACATGAACAGATTACTAATCCTTTTATATAGTAAATAGCCCTCGCTAAAAAAGGTAATGAGTGAAGCACTATTCTTAAACATTGCACCTTTTTTTGGTTACCGCTTGCATTTTCGCCGAGTGAAGGAAACTTGTGCTGATCCAGTGTTAGTGTCCTGGGTGGAGCCTCTAACTGGATGGGTTCTTGAAAATCAAGAACGTTTCGCTCGAATTTGGCTTCTGGAAGAGGATCCCGCCCAGGCACATGACGTCCTCCCTCCCCTGTAATAGACGGACAAACATAGCTCGTGTAAGATTACGATAACAATTATTCGATCAGAACAAGGTAGTACTACTTAATCGTACTTCTTTTACCTTACCGAAATTTACAGAAGGTTATGTACATTTACAATTTATACCACAATTTTTGTTGAATTTTTCGAAAAACTTCTACAACGAACATTATAACAAGCATTAAATATTTTTGAATATTGGGCCCCCATACAATCTTTGTATTAAGAAGATCTGGTCGTGCTACTTCGTGTAGCTCGTGCCATTACAACAACACCATCACAACGCGTTGCGATTAATACTTACCGATAAGTATTCGATCTGGTACGGTCATCACCAAAGATTTCTCTGGCCGTTGAAGGTGTGGCTCACCAATAGTCTCGACCGGCTTCATAGCGTAGTCAGGATCGACAACGGAAATTCGCTGCGGAACCCGCATTTTGTTAGATATCTCCTGTGTAAAGTTTGAATCATATTCTTGCCCTGTTCCATTACCAACACCTTCTGACGAAATTCCATTATGTGCTGAGGACTCCATTTGCACGTCCCGCTAAACGTTTTTTTATTAAGTCGTGTTGTTTTGCTTATCGATAAGAAACACCTGGACCAATCCCTTTCCTATTCACCTCAAGGGTCCTCGAAACGATCACTCCTTCAAGTCTACTTTCTCACGGCGAGTATAAGTAGACTAATTGTTAATTACGCAAATAACATGGATTCGCCGTTATCCTACAGAACTTCACCGTATCTGGCTGTAATGTGACAGAGCTGCAACACAATATAATATTAGAACAAAAGCCAGCGTGAGTATAGCACAGCGATCGTATTTTTTTATACTGTGACAAAATAAAACTTAAATATAGACTGTATTTTATTGCACCTGAATATAGTTACTGACATAGCAGAACATTTTAACCCCAGACGATGATGAAACTGTTAAGTTGCGTCACAAAAGGAGAGGAAATGTCCGCAGCTAGTTGATACTCTGTTTGTGTAAATTAGTAAGTGCATGAACGCCTGAACATTCCATCGAATTTGACGTTGAAACGGAGTACAAAAAACGAAAGTGGAAAGCTTATCAGATTCGATGAAGAGACGCCAGCTATCAACTCACCAGCAAACGCGAGGGAGTCAAAAACACTTTTTCAGCCTTCAAAACATCTGAGGTGAATCCGTTTCACTACCTGCCAGCCTCGGAACAGTTCCATCATCATCATCGTCAACAAACAACGTTCCCACCGTCACCAAAAATCCCACTTTCTACAAAAACAATAATACTTCAAGGAATACTATAGATACTGGACGGCAAACGCAGTACCGCTCACCTCACACGCACTACAAAACAGTGCTCAGAATTTCGAAACCCAGCAAAGCACTAATATGCGGAAAGCGTGTCGAACCTTTGTCGGTGAAGTGCAGATTATGCATGACTTATTGTAAAAACGTTTCATTTTTAAGGCGCCACAACCGCCTGAAGTGTAATCTTGTCTTTCCAGAATGCAAACGTCATGGAGTCTGCGGTAAAATGAAATTCAGTTATGATCGATTTTGGCAAAGCAGACGACACTGTGATCCACCGGTAATCAATAACAAGACAGACAAAAGCATTCGCGACAATTAAAGAAAAACGTGCGCGAAGTGTTAACTTTGATCTAGCTATCGAATCTAGATTTTAAACTAAGTGCAAATCTATCCCGTTCAAAGGTACAGTAAAATGAGTAGGAATCTTAATAGAAAAATGTGTTGCATTTAAGGTTGAAAACGGGCGGATTGTCCAACCAACTTGGACTCTTTACATCGAAATCAATGTTTTGGTTTATAATAGAATACGTTTGAATGATTACAAAGTTGCAAATTATATTTTTAAATGAAAATAAACTGATGAAACGGTATGGCAGATCCAACTGATTCTAATATAACGATTTCTACAGTAGCATACGCTAGTGTTCAAGCGTCCACAAAAGCGGATGCAATTTTTTTCCATAAGTGAAGTACAATCGTTTGATTATATTGTTAAAACTTAATATAATGTACATTGTACACGATTGAATGAACGGTGAGGTATTGTAACATGAATGCTGCAAGGTTCCAATCGAGTTTTGGCTCAATTTAACATGCGAATGGTGCTCAAACGTTAAAATTCGCAAACAAACATGTATGCAACATGTGCGAACCGTTGGCTATTTGTGAAGATTAGAGCGCGTTCAAAACTAAGCAAATCAAATCAATTGACCGGCTTGATGTTAACGAGTATGATATGTGGTAGTAGATAGGGTTTTTTCCAATGTACGATGGCTTGAGAAAATCCGCTTCACCAACATTGCCGCTTTCTGCTCTTCTTTTTTGGCAATCACAATTAAGATTAAATAGGCAAAATAGATAATACAAAAGAAGTACAATTCTTTCCAAAAGAAGGGTCGAACAACTTGAATATGCTCTAATAGTGGGATGTAATACTTTGCCATGCTTGATTTGGAGGGGAATATCGTGCATATCGACTACTACTACGAGCGTAAAATGAGCGTAAAATACTATGAACGTAAAAAACTTCTAAACCGTTAGATGGGCTACCGGCTTACTCAGGGCTTGAAACACGTCGTGCAGGGCTTTTTGTTGGGGAAAACTTGGGCTAAGATAGACATGCTTTACATACCCGTTATCATTTAGTATTGAAATGAAAATCTACAGTTTCACTACGGAAGACATTTTTAGTCGCAGCTGACAGTAGAACACACACTGAATTTGATGCGTGCGGTTGTTCTAGGTAGGCATGGAGCAACTGGACGAGCATGCGATGATAAAGAACGAACGAATGATCTTGATATTACGAGCCGTATCTACAACAACATAAGCTAAACCTATGACCCGTTACTTCTACGTACAAACCGTTACTTCTACCTTTGCAATAAGTCTGTCAAAGACTTTAAGGGGTGTGAGCGTCTCTATGTGCCCAACTGTCGTAAGTTTTTTATGCGCTTAGAGCTCTATTTACCGCAGTGGAATGAGTAAAACCGTTGTTGTTTTGTTAAGCAAAATAAACTAATTGCATAGTTAACAGGACACGCATCCTTCCTATAAAAAGCCTAAGCAATAAATTATGAAGGCTAGCAAAGAACTGAGTTTAGCATCATCGTTGCCTGAAAAGTCAACCAAAGATTTAATCACTAAGAAAAAATCGACAGTTTAAGAACCCCTGAACTATATGTTTGGAAAAATTATCTCGATTCGCCAAATCCCTATATTTCCGTGTCTTCTCGGGATCATGATGCTTCGATCACCTCTCGCCATTGAATTCCTTTATGCTGCAAATACGAGACGTTCGTGATACAGGACATGGCGTCGTCCTAAGACACATTCTCGGTGAAACTATAACGGTAGAGTGATCCTGTTTGATCTTGTATTACTACAGGCTTAAGATAATTGAATATAATCACCATTTGTTATTGCGGCAATTTAAAACTCAAAAGTGGGTAATACTCAGGGGTCGCTTTCCAATGTGAAACCGTTGGTAACTTCCATTCGTATATACGTAGATTTCTAATCCAGTAAAACTCAAAAGAATTATCGCAGAATTATTTCCTCTAACTTCGGTAACAATCATCAATTAAAATGTGCTTGTTGATGGTGTATATTTAAAAGAGTTTGTCTAGACATATACCCAAGTTAAGTTTGGCTTTCAAAAAATCCTCTCAAACAATTTTGACTTCTATGCATAGGAAACTGTTATTTAATAAATAAACGAGTGTAAGTGTTCTTGCGTGCCTTCGTCGTTATTTACTTACTATTTTGTGTCTAATCAAAAACACTTCGATCAGAGGTTTATGTTTGGGTCTTTTGAGATTTGTAAGCATATTTCATACAAAGTTTAAAAATGATTACAGTACACATAGGGGCTCCGTTTGTCAGCATTAGATATCCACCTTGAAATTTCTATACTGTATCCTGCGATAAAAGGTCGCACTTTAGTCGCTAACAATCACCTAATTAACATGATCTCTCATACTTATGCAATGATGGTAGAGCAGGTAAGGCCCGTCTATAACAACTGTCGCAAGAATTCCTCATTTGACAATTACAACTTCATTTGTACAGCTAGCTCAAGAAATACGCGGCCACACTTAGTGCTTGGCTTCTCAGAAGTGTAAGAAGAATGACAAAGTACTGATTTCTGCAAAATCTAGGCTTTATTTCCGGCAGCTTTCAGCTTCTCGTGAGCATCTGTTTCTTTGTATTTAAACAAGGATTAACAAAACAACTAGCTTAGCATCTATAATCATAATCTGTGTCATAGTATTTATATACTGTACACTCGATCTATTTGTATTTAGACTTTTTTTTAAATGTATTTGTTTATTTATTTATATACCTATATATATATATATGTATATATATATATATATATATATATATATTTTTTTTTTTTTTTTTTTATATAACATATATGCTCCTCTTGTATTCTGAATCTGAATGAATTCTTACATCGGAATGGGTCAGTCGGTTGTTACAGCTTAGATATCGAAACGTAACACAGCGATCATTGAATTGCAGTGTTCGATTGTCAAAACTCCTTATCCAACCCAGTCCAGTTATCCAACCCTAAAGAATATGTTCTGTATACACCTATATTCTGCGTACATTTTACGCGTGCTTCCAGGCACACATATGCTAACACAAACAAAAGCGTCTGCTAGTTGAGCTCAAATAAAGGTGCTGGGTTTTTATCTGCTTTGTTGAAACTCATGGGAGTGACTATATTTCCCAATTATTCTAAGAGTGCTGCTGCTGAAGGGTGCACTGTTCAAAGTTCGGCACTCAGTTGTATAGTTCTCAGCTTGCGATGTTAGTGCCGACTTGGGTGTAGTCCACTTACTACGCACGGTGCTGTCTGAGCAGCCGCTTAGTTAGAAAGGCAGTTAGTTACTGAGGGTTATCCTTCTCTATAAATGTCGGTGAGAAAATTATTATAGAGACAAAGTTCATTCTACTCGAGATTAAAGTTTTCTCTATCGGATTGTATTACACGATCCGTTCAAAGGGTAGTTTCGTGCTAGCTACATCTGTCTCCATTACAAATCGGCTTTTCTTTAAATATCAAAAAATCCTTTAGTAAGTAGATGACGCTTATCCGCAGCTGCGCACGCGTATAAGTTTTAACTTAAAACGTATTCATATAAATAATGAAAGAACTAATTTCTATTAGAATTAATAGGCGATGGTTTTAATAGAATAGAATTATTGAAGGTAGAATCCAGGGTCGATATTCGTCGGTTGCAACGACTCATATACATTTAGTATGAGCATTACAGCGATCCAATTACAGGACAGTAAATGATAATCTATTGTACAGCAATCTACTACACAATTGCATCGCAGCATTGATGTGGTACATCATCTAACGTAATGTATTTTTTGTTGGTTTTCGTAAAACAGTTCAAGCATACACTAAGTCAATGCGTGTCCGACTACGACAATGATAATAATCCAAGATCCGAAAGAAATCAACCTTTTTACTAATGATTTTGATAACAAAATGCATTGTTGTACATAGAAGGCACGACGTAAATATTGAAATGTATTAAAGTTGTAATAGTGGAAGCTTCTTGATAAAACTATTACTCCCATATTGCGCAAAAAGAAACGCAACCCCAAGCATTTGCTTTTCTTCTTTATGAATCACTTTTTCCTTTACGCATTACACAATCACTGCTAATAACATACAGTTTTATGATTGTTCTTTCCCTTTTTCGTTAATGTGTCGACCACTACCACCATCAAAATGGCTATGACAACAGCGACGTATTTTGCCTTATCCTCCATTTTTCTTTTTCGTCTAGCGCGTTTTTAAAGATATTTAATATCTCGACCACCTATCGCTAGATGCCGCCACATGCGCTTTTTGGCCGCGACAACAACACCAGATACCTGGAGACCCAGCCATGAAGACATGGGCACGCACAGTTAGAGCATCCGCATCCTCGCCCAGTTCTACCCTCTCCTGCATTGGTCGCCAGCGACCAGATGTTTTGTCGTAGAAAAGGAAGCTGCGGCGAAGGATGCAACGACCCGGCGGCGGCACTCTGCCAGGAAGGAGCGAGGAACGAATGCTGACGGTAATGCTGTCGCTGGTGGTACGGTAGTGATGGCGATCACGACGGTAAAAATATTTTTCTATTATTAAAACTATGCTACCGTCATGACAGTACTGCCATCACTGACACAACAACGGCAATACACAGCGAGCGAGAAAGAAAGCTTCGTCGCTACTGGTGCTCAGTAGGCCGATTAGTCTGGTAGGCGCCGGCCGGTGGATGTCC